TATGAGAGAAAGCCCATACTTCAGATGGCAGTTCTGAATGTTCGATTTATAAATTCCATAGCCCATAACAAACATATCAATGAACGATTTGAAAAATTTCCGTGCATATACTATAAACATAGGCAAACTAAGTGCAGATCTGACAAAAAGTAAAAACAATAAACTATGATACTGGATAGAGAAAACCTTTAACAACTTGATACCAATGCCATAATTCTTGCAGCAGGCTAGTTCATGGCATTTGCTACAAGAACTTACGACCTTATTCCCATGCTTCGGTTTCAGGCACAGAAGCCACCATTAAAGCAGTTCATATACAGCTGTTATTCCCAAACTGCGGCTATTTCAATTACAGACTTTATATATTACTTCATTTAATTTCTCGCTACATGTCTTACAAAACTGTAAATTATTGTCTACTTGAACTATACATGTTTATACAAAATATCAAACAATGTACATGGGAGCGAAGCATTAATTTTGCAAGATATAATTTGCAAAAAGTAAGAAATGAATAAAATTAATAATAAACCAGACTAAAATTTTCGTGTCGGAGAATAAACTGCTTCTGAAGACTTGAAAATCGTATAAACTAACCCACAGCTCACCTCTTCAAAAACATCGGCCCTACGAACAATATCGCAGCACAAATTGACGACTTTGTAAAACAGCAGACAGAAAGCTTTCATGTTTCGATCTTCGATCAAATGTGGCTTATGCAAATACAGATTAGTGAATATCGTCAGCACGGTGGAATGACCTTCAAGCCAAGTTACCTAAAATAGCAGACGAAATTAAAATCAGTACTGACAGAAAACACCGTTGGTGCGTTGATGGTACTGAAAAATGCATTAAAATGGGCTTTTTAATATACAACACAACAAAATAATGTAGTCAATCCGATGTCTGACCACTACCGACGCTTCGGCTAATGTCTCATGAGCATGTACACGCTCCCAGGTGATTAGAGTGTATCGACATCATCAAACAAAGAGAAAGATATCGGCTGCACAAGCGTGTCAAGGAGACATTAATCATCTAGCCCTATGACAAAGGATATGAAATATGGGCGGACTGAAAGCCCCTTGTCCACCGGAAACTATTCAACCAGCAGCACGAATAAAGATTCTCTTCAGACTCCAAGCCTAACAATCGCAGCGGACAACAAGAAACCTTCCGAAGTTTCATCAACCTCATACGTCGAAGACACGAGTCGAAACTGGGTATTGGTCAATCATCAGATTCACCATATTTCTTGCGTTGTGCGTTAATAAACCGCGCTTTATGCTGTTTTTCAATCAACACAGATTTAAACTCTGACTCTGTCGGTCGTAAGCCCGGATCTGAAAAGAGGACGGTTGGGTACCATGGGGAGGATTCCCGTAAAACTTAGCTACTTTCCTTCATGGTATTGCCGCATTACACCGGCTCGGTCATTGCCCGGATAAGCAAGTGTCGTGAAATCTGTTGGGGAATTGAAAGAAAAGGAAAGTTTGTGACCGGCAATTCTAACACCCTTGTTTTCATGAGATTAATAATTGGGGCGCTGATCTCCATTTCCATGTCATCAGCCAAAAGTGCCCTAATTTTTCTTAAGGAAGAATCGACAACAGGTATGAGACTAACATAGTCTGTATTCTCCTGCTTCTTTCCCATTCATTTATTAACCACGGAAGGAATAAAGGGGAGTCAACTTGATCAAAGCTCGAAGTCAGTACCGCATGGCACTGAGCCCGACACTCGACTGACCGAGTAACTCTGTCTGAAGCAACAAGTCGTAAATTCCTTGCTTCGGGGAATTAACGATAAAAACAAAGATTACCAACCGTGGGAATCGAACTCGGCACCTAAGGAGTTGGAGTTTAAAACCGACCTCTTACTGAAACACCACGCCTATTGAGGAACTGAGGCAGATGACGAAAAGTCAACATGGTGTGACATTCGACTTAAACCACGTTCATAGCTTAGATATTTAAGCAGAGGAGTTCAAACGCACAAATAAAAAATGTTTCCTAAAATTGTCCACCTCTTCCTTCCCGGCATCACAGCTAGACAAGATCTCGGCTCTCACAAGCTAATTACTGAACATTTTACTCTTCAAGCTCTAGTTAACTTCAGATGAAAATGAAAAACGCACGGAACAGAAAGATAAAACATGATAGTCAAGAACACATATACCTGTCCAATTTTGCAGATCTGCCTAGTGAAGCACCCTAAAGTCAAGAAATTGATAATTACAGGACATGTTATGAATCTGCTGGAAAGCCATTATCCCGAAATAATTCATGATCGAAAGCTCGACACGAAAACTCCGGCGTTTTCGGTCCCAAGCCTAGTTCAAAAATAAGGGGCGTTAAAGACCGCGGCGAAGTCTCCGTAAAATATCACCAACTGCCGCCGATGGTATTGAAGTCATCGAAAATTAAACCGACTGTTATCGCCCGGGCTACCAAAGGCCGCGCAGGCCGTTGGGGGATTGAGGCAGGCTTCGAAAAGTCGGCGATCAGAACCTGCTCATTGCCCTCTACTAGCCGGGGGCGTAGCAGCATAACATCGGTTGACGAAGATCCAAAGAACAACGACGAAGACACAACTCAGCAACGGAGTCGCTACCCTTTCTGAACGGAGAAGGCAGACAGCGCCATGCCATTATAGCACGTCAGAAAAGGCTCCACGAGAATGACACCACCAGTGGGAGCTTAAAGTCGGAAATTGGAACATATCCTCACTCAGAGGAAAAGATCAGGAGCTAATTGATGAGACCATAATCTACCAAATCGACATACCTGGACTCTCGTCAACTAAACGCCATAGCACTGGAACCCTGAACTTCTGCAGTTTAAAGCGTTGACCTTGGTACAAGTCCATGCGCCCAATTTGGATGGAGAATATGATACCTTCCTTCAGGAAGTGTAGTGTGCTCTGTTCGAAGTGCTGAATACAGAGTCCGTCATATTCGAGGGAAATTATAACGCACATGTCGGAGTAGACGCTGAAAAGTGCAACAGCGTGATTGGTAAAAAGGGCCCTAGCGACCTCAACAATAACCCCACGAAGTTGTTGCGGTTTTGTGCAAACAACGGATTGTCCAATATGAGCACCCTCTTCGAGCATCGAAAAGTGCATAGTATAGCTGGTAACGGGAAGCTTGTGACAGAAATCGATGATCAATTTGATAATCTTATCGTCAGACTTAAGACGCACAGCAATGGATATTCGCGTTAAGAGGCGCAGAGATATCAACTGATCACTACCTTGTTGTTAGCACATTGCGCTGTAAGAAATGGAGTACCACACCAATATCTGGTGGCGGAAAACATTATCCTCAGTGGATACGCGAGCGAAATTTGCAAACATCGCACGACTGTCCCTACGAATCCCGATGATGACCACTGATGTGAAAAACGAGTGGCAACTCTTTACAAGCAGCATATTCGAGGCTGCCGCTGAATGCAGCTGATTTAAACGGGTTGGCCTCCCGCCTGAAGGTCAGATAAAATCTTCCTGCTGGACACGAGAGGTACAACTAGCAGTTAAAGAGAAGACAGCGTTCAAGAAATGGCTTGGAAACAAAGAGCCTTCTCCTCGCCTCCGATATGTCGAGGCAAGCAAACAGGCAGCGAAAGCAATGCCAAAAGCCAAAGCTTATTCTTGGGAGGTATTGGAGACGAATTTCCATATGACAAACAAGGTATTCTCGCAGACCATCCGCCGGCTCTGAGACGAAAAGAAGGGTAGTCTAAGAGTCCTGAAGGTCAGGTCCGGATACCATCCTGCCAAAGATGAGACCATTCATCGTCGAGGGAAAGACCACTTTGAGGAACTCTTTCACCCCCAAGCAACGGCAGGAAGACTAGCCTGTTAAGCAACAGCTAACGGATAATACTATCTCTGTAGATGGAACTACACAAGCTGTGAAAAGCTTCAAAAATTGAAAGGCTGCTGGAATTGAAGAAATCCGTCCTGAAATTCTCAAGATATTAGGCTAAGAAGGCATGTGCAGGTATGCACGTGTCTGTCAAACTGCGATGACTACGGGAAAGACACCACCGGACTGGAGAACGGCAGTTATTGTGCTCCTATTCGAGAAGGGAGCCCACAAGCAGTGCTCTAATCATAGGGGTTTTAAGTTATTGAGCCTATCAGGTAAAGTCTACGCAAAGGTGCTAGAAAGGAGGTGCCGCGGAATAACTGACTCCAAGACACAAGAAGCAGTGTGCCTTCCGGCCCGGTCGAAGCACCTCTGACCATATACTATCCTGTGCCAGACTGCTGAGAAATCGCCCGTCCGGTGTACATGTGCTTTGTTGACCTAAAAATACCCTATGACCGGATCCCACGCAACAGTCTGTGGTCATGTCTTCGAGCATACGAGATAGATGTCATGCTGCTACGGGGAATCCAATCACTGTATTCTGATAGCCGGTCCTGCGTCAGAGTAAATGGCGTTAAGACGAAACCATTCAACTTTGGCACTGGTCTCCGCCAAGGCTGCGTCCTGTCCCCTATCCTGTTCGTGTTGTACATGGATAGAATAGTCATGAGCTGCCAAGGCGATGAGGGTATCGGTATAGGAGATGTTAAGTCGTGAAGGTTGCTGTTTGCAGACGAGCTTGTTTTATTAGCATCTTCTGAAACTGATCTCCAGTGCTATTTAGAAAGGTTCGCAGCCCAGTTGCGACGTGACCGGCATGCGTGTGAACGCATCTATAACGAAAAGCCTAGTGCTTTCTCGTTCTCCTGTTCGTTGCTCTCTTCAGATTAATGGAGAAGCAGTGGAGCAGGCGGAGAAGTTCAAGTACCTCGTAGTTGTATTTACCAGTGATGGAAATTTTCAGGAAGTGATCGACCAGAGAATTGGTGCAGTTAGTCGCGTTCTGCGTGAACTAGTATGATCTAGTGTAACTAAAGCAGAGCTCAGTCTGTAAACTATCCTCTCGGTGTTCAAGTCGATCTTTATATCCATGCTTACCCACCTTTATGAGTCGTGGACCATGAATGAGAAGCTTCTAATCCTGGTACAAGTTGTTGAAATGGGCTTTGCTGGACGAGTCGCTGGCCTTACGCGTCTCGATATGGTCCGGAATACTGACTTCCGAGAGAGCTTTGGTGTATAGCCTCTCCTTCTCCAGACTGAAAAGTCACCGCTGCGGTGGTTTGGGCATGTGTTGCGAATGCCTCCAGAATGGAAAGCTCAACAACTCTTTATTACGAAACTGACCAGCAGAAGGCGCATGGGATGGTTAAACTGGTGCAAATATATGGAAGGAGTCTGTTCCATACTCCATTTGTCTTTTGCCGAAGCTCAGACTCTGGCACAGGATCGGGAACGTTGGAAGCTTTATCTTATGCGTCTGCCTCTGCAAGCCGAAAGGAGAGGCGGCCATGGAAGATGAAGATGAAAATGAAGCTTGACACGGTTTATGATAAAAACAAAAGAACGAATACCGCAACCTTATATTGGTCTGCCTTTTCAAATGCTATTCGCAATTACGAGGCAATCTCAGGAAGAAAAGTAAAAGCAATATCACGACCTTCGCTCTGCAGTAAAGGGAGGAACATATTATAAGCTGGCTATGGGTATTTAGTGAAACTGGGAAATGACTGTACAATTCGATTAGAAAAAGAACAAGCAAAAATTAATATAAATACGGCGTTTTCTAGGGAACTACGAAAGATCAAAACAAACGAAAAGCAGATGCTCGAAATCAATCGCGTAACATGTCCACCTACATCCTTCTACTTAAAAATCAGGTAAACATTTTAATGAGAAACAGGTTCGAGATTTCAGATTTAACCTCAGATACAAAAATATTGGACAGAAAAACTCAATACATTCTTTTCAATTCACCATATGAAACAAATATGGCATTTTAATTTAATACAATGTGTTTCTTAAGTGCAGAAGACGAAATATCATGAGATAAACAATAAATTTCTTGATGCTTACCTGCGGATTTTATGACTGTCGCAATAAAACGCGCTGTACTAAAATTTAGTATCGTATTTACCTTTCGTACCATGGATCGAGAAGAAAGATTTGAACTCGAATTAATGACAAAACGTAACATTGAAAAATATTTAAGTACAGTGTAGAAACAGAAAAAGTTAAAAAGTTTTGAGAACTTTAATAGACGACATCACCGGATAAGGAACCCCAAGAAATAAGTTTTAAAGCAAAATAATTTTGACCAGAGGTGAAGTTCAGCAAGGAAGTAGTGCGACAGTGACATCAGTAGGTAAACTAAACCAAAAGTTTAGTCGAAAAAGACTGCCAAGTTATTTCATCACGCAACTTAGTCATATGAAGAAAAACGATCAGTAACTGTCAAGTAACGCCTTACAACTAATGTTAATTCTCTAAGCATAATTGACTTCAATAAAACTATGGGCAAGTTTACAATGCCTTAAGTCAGGATCTTATTAAAAATTGCATTTTTAGTAGTCTTACAAAAGAGGCTAGCATTGCATCCATGATCGACACAAGCTCTTCACACGGAATGTTCTTCAATTTCAACCTGCCACACTGAAAATGAACCAGTTGAAGTAATTCACAGTTTCAAGTGAGTCACCTACTTTGACGGCACCATCAAAGCCCAGGCATTTCGACCGTTTGTGAAGCATACCTGGATCCATCTTTGGATCCATCAACTCTACTGCCGACATTCCTTCATACAGTGAGAATCTGAAAGCTGCTTTCGAAAGCAAATACTGCAAAAAAAATTGTCGACTTACGTATTATCGCGAACAAGCTCTCCCAAATCCAAACCTAAGACATATACGTAGCAAGGCAAACCTAAAGCTATGACTCACCGCGTGCTGCTTCCTTAAACTGATTGGTGATAAGCTTCCACTCAGCATTTATGATGTCATAGGTTGCACAGACGTTGATGCCGCTAGCAGCAGCCCCTGCATCCTCACTGCTGACATACTTCTGCTGTTCGTCTTTGAAAATCGCCATCGTAGTGGCGGCAGCTCGTTTATCAGTAATTCTTCTTTTGAAAGAATTGTCACACCTAAGAAAATTTAGTCGCTGCTTATTTTTCATCTATTATTCCATCACTTAGCGAAATGGTTAAACGTTAAACAATACATTTTTGCACTTTACAAAGCAAATTCTTAATCATGTAATAGAGGGTGGATAAAAGTCAAATAATGAAACCGTGGCCAGAACAGATCAAGCGAAAAATTTTTCAAAAGCCATTATGGTAAAGGTTTCTTGTAAGCAAACAATAGAAGAACGCATCAGCGGTAATCTAGGAATGAGATTACCCGTTTTACTAAAAATTGTATTCTTAGCAATATCATTAAAACAATATGCCATCATTCATTTCATACTTGTGCTAACGAGAGCTTAACTCTAATAATGGCATTTCACAGCGCAATTTGTAACAAGCTCTATATAATTCATTTAACTTGTACAGATAAATCTGTTTATGATAACGATGCTACATCTAAAATTGCGCATGGCAGGTTTTGAGGTCCTGGCTACGTTCTAGGACTGAAAAACGGAATAAATGCAGTCTGGATAAAAATATGCATAATGATTTTCAATTAAACTGATGGTACGAATGCTACTTCAGACCGTTCGTCAAGTTCTAATGGGTTCCTCAGGTTATGAGCCGATCATGCATACACATATAAAATATATTTACACACAGGTATAAACAAAACTTCAGCATGATATAATGCTTCAAGAATATTTAAAGTTCAATCGACTAAAAAAGATATTCTTCAGACAGTCAAAGGTTATTCCAACATCTATATGGACAAGAATACTCCCATAACGAGTGCGCTGAAGTCTCAATAAACATTGTTGCTGCCTATTAGTGCTTGGTATATTTTTCAAGAATATAACTTTTATCTGCTTCTAAACAGTTCTGAAAATACTCATACCTTTATTGTATACCCTCCCTCTAATCTCCTCACCATTTATATGGATCATAGAGCAATACAAGCAAACTCAATACAGCACGACCCAATGTATGACATACAATCCCTAAAAAATAAATACACAACTACCTGTTGCTTAAACAACTCAAATAAATAACTCAGAAGAAGGCTGAGAGTCACCGGGTCTGCTTCAAAGGAATTGCAAATATTTTTAGAAAGACTGCGCATCTAAAACCCGGATCGAAACGCGTCTGACGTATATAAAATAAATTAAAACCTCTGCAACAAATAGCACCAATTACAATTATCACAATGTACGCAAAAAGATTGCATACTGCAGGCCTAATCCATAAATCAAGCAATTCACATAACACTTAATTCAGCTGCTGTTCTACGTTGAACTGAAGTTGCTAAGGAACGGTTTCGAAAGGATTTGTCTTGAAAATCATTCTTCTTGCGCCGGTTAACAAATAAAACAATTTCTGTACAATACTCATTTACAATTATGATGCGAAGAGAGGTAACAAATAATTAATCACTGCAGAATTATTCTACTGTTATTCTATTACACCATCGCTGTAGCAACGTCATCAATGCCGGTGCCAAGCCTGGAGAAGAAACGAGAAGGACAGGAAATGGTTGCGACATCTCCCGCAAACCGTAGCTATTGCTACTATCGAACATTATACAGGCTCGATCGTCGTCTCGGTTACCAAGGACAGCGAAGGCTGCGAAAAGTCGGTGATCAAACCCTCATTCCCGCCTTCAGGAAGCCGAATTGAGCAGAAACAAGACAAAGGGTGCGGAAGATCGATAATAAGACGACGAAGAAACCAGTAGGCAACGGGAAGAACAGAGGAAGCAGATAGGGCGATGCCATTATGGCACGTCACATAAGGTTACACGCGTCGATATCAGCACTGGGAGCTCATACTCAAAAAATGGAACGCCTCGTCACTAAAAGGAAAAGGGCAGAAGCTAGCTAATGAGACCACAAGGTACCTAATAGACACAGCTGGACTATCGCTAACGAAGCGCTAGGGGAAATCCTGAATCGCAGGCGGTAGAAGCTATTTTCTCAACGACCAGCGTTCAAGTCGGTGATAATGTTCTGATAGAAACAAACCTGCGCGTAAAAATCACTGAATGGAACCCCGTAAGTGCAGGATTCACAGGCGTCCAAACAAAATTGTAATAGACGAAAGCTTTGACCTGACTACAGCTGAATGCGCCCAAATCAGAGAGAGCACGAATATTCCCAGGATGAAGGGGTGATCCGTACGAAGTGCCGATTACGGAATCCTTCATTCGATTTTAATGCGCATGTCGGAATAGATGCTGAAAAGTGCAAAAGAATTTTTGGAAAGAACGGCTATAGCGACCTAAACAATAACGGCATGAAGTTGTTGCGATTTTGTGCAAACAACGCACTGTCCATTATGAACACCTTCGAGTATCGAAGAGTGCATCAGTATACCTGGTACCGGAAAGCTTTTGCACGGAAGTCGATGATCGATTTGATAATCGTATTGTCTACTTAAGAGGCTCGGTAAGGATGCCCGCGTTATGAGAAGCGCAGAGCTATCAACCGATCATCACCTTGCTGCTGGCACACTGC